GCTGGCCTAGGTTCTCCGGCAAGCGGCCGTGGGTCGAGGCTCCGCCACGCTACTGCCCTCCTCGGTTCCGCCGTCAGGAGGACTCCGAGAGAGGTTCTGACGCCATCAGGGTGAATTTCCAGAGACTGTCTCTTGCTGGCAAAGACTGCGAACAAGAAATTCTGGCCGTTTTCAGGGAGCTTGGGGAGGGGAAGGCTTGTACAGTTCATGATCTCGCACGTCAGCTCAAAACCCAAAAGAAGGAAGTCAACCGCGCTCTGTATAAACTCTTCAGAGAAGGCAAGTTGCACAAGGGTGACGAGACGCCGCCGCTGTGGAGGATTGCCAGCCCAAGCGCCGAGAGGGAAAGAAGCCCCGCTGACCACAGTGGTGGTCACGCAGATCCAGCTGGTGAGAGCGGAGGAGGAGGAGGAGGAGGAGAGGGGAGCGCGGTTGGCGCGGGAGACGCCGATCCCGCGATGGCCGAGACGAAGGACAAAATCTGCAACTACTTGTTCAGCGTGGCGGACACGACGGCGCTCAACCTGGCCAAAAACATCGGGTTTTCGCGGGCCAAGGACGTTAACGCCTTCCTGAGCGCTCTGGAGAAGCTGGGCGATGTCCACAAGCAGAACACGAGCCCCCCGCGGTGGTCCCTGACCGACAGGAAGCGCGAGCGGATGCAGATGAGGCTGAAGGCCAGCGTGGTGACGCAGACGGTGGAGCCCAGCCCTGAGCCGGCTTTGCCACCTGCCTTTGTCCCACCGTGTCCCCAGGAGGCGACTGGAGCTTCGCCAGCAGCGGCGCCCTCGGAAGAAGAAAGTGTCGCGAACGGCCAACGGCCCTTGGGGCAAACGGATCAGAGCGACGCCAGCGACACGGAAGCCGCCGCGCCGGAGGACACGAAGCCCCAGTTCTCCGGTTTGAGTCACTATGATAACTCTGAGAACGGCAAGTGGGCCACGGATGATATCCCAGATAACCTGAACACTATCAACAAGCAGCCTGATGGGGCGGAATCCATCATGAGTTCCCAGTCTTCCCCCAGTTACGCCGCCCAGTTTGAAACCGCTTTCCCGTGTACGCCCGTAGAGAAACTGATGGCTTGTCAGGAGAAGAACCCAGTGAGTGGCCTTACCGAGTATTCCCAGTACACCTACCAGCACTGTGAGTTTGCCATGCTGGAGCAGAGCGGACCCTCTCACGAGCCACGGTATGAGAATTTCCTGCTTTTCCTGAGCTCTTTTTTTTTTTTTTTTGCTTAAAATGATCTGACTTCAGCTAACTTCACCCACTCAACTTTGTCCTGAAGCGCCTGCTCATTAATGTTTCCTTTATTTCAGGATTAGCCTAGTTGGTTCCTTGCAGCAGCTTAAAAAAACCCCAACAGCAACAACAACAAAACCCCCCAAATCTAAAATTTAATGCTAAGTAGCCTGATTTTGGCAACCCTGCACCTCATTCTAAGCAGCAAAAAGCGGGATCCTTCTCTTCAGCCAAGTCCCGACTGATTTAACCACTTGGCTTTCGATTTAATTGTACGGGGGGAAACTGGTATTTCTAAGCTCCCTCTCAAGACCCTCTCCCCCTGGAAGTGGTGGAAAGGGAGCCCAGAACAAAGTGCTGGGGTGCAGCTGTCTCGGGTTAGACGAGGCGATCCCGCTCTGGACGTTGCTGTGGCGGAGCGGGTCAGAGCGGCCCCTGTGAGCGGAGCACAGAGCGTGGCGGTGGGGTTTAGCGCTTCCCCTTGTGGAAGTGTGGCTGTTCCTGAGCACCAGCGAGACGGTGAAAAGCACCATATGTGCCACGCTGGAATATGTCAATAGATCCGCTAGACAGGAAAATTGCCCTCATTTCTAAAGAAGGAGTCCCAGGCTTTTTTTTTTATTATTTTTATTATATATTTAAGGAGGGATCTGAATGGATTCAGCCTCATAACCCCCCTGTAGATCTGGTTTGACCCCTCCTCGTGGGAAGCAGGTTGCCTCTGCGTAGGGCCGGGGGACGGCAGAGGAGCTGTGCTTGTTGGAGTTCACAGGGAGGAGACAGACAGAAAAATCGAAGGCGAGAGGTTGATGCGAGGCGGCGCCTTTCTGGGATGATGGGAAAGCGCTGGGTAGCCAAGGAAAATGCCAGAGGGCCGAGTGACCCCAGATGCCCAGGTGGAGATGGAACAGCTCAGGCTGCTTTGAAGCTTCCTCCCTGAGCAGGAGGCAGGACTGAGCCGTGCTCTGCCTACGGCCCTTCCGCGTTTCTGGCGCGCGTGGGACAAGGCGATGCGTCCTGTTCCCTCAGAGCAACATCTGGAGCTGCTCCTCTGTCCTCAGCAGCTCTGGAGACGCGATGAAACCAGGCCCAGATGCCGAGCTGTCGGCGCAACCCGTGGTGTTTGTCTGCTGCCCGTGGCAGCCTGGGTTTGCTCCCCAGCCAGGAGCTAGCTGCTCCTCCTCGCTGAATTCCGAGAGCAGCCTTGCCTGCTCCGAGGAGGCCGCGCTTTTGCCTCTCACTTGGTTTTCTCTTTCAAAGATTTAAGTTCCAGGCGGTGATTAATGGGCGCCGATTCCCACCAGCGGAAGCAGGGAGCAAAAAACTGGCGAAGCAGGAGGCGGCAGCGAACGCCATGAAGGTTCTGATGAGCGAGGCGGACAACGGCAGGCAGGGGGGGATTAAGTGTGAAGAGCCCTTCCCCTCCGGCACCTCCGAACTGGAATTGGTGAGTCTTGGTTTTCTCTACTTGTGAGGCTGGTCAGTGTTTGGTGTGAAACTGGTTTCCTCCTTCTTCTTGCTGTAGCCTTTGCAGCCAGAGCCAGAGGCGTCGTGTGCCCCGGCTCCCCTCGCCCTGCTCCCTGGGAAACACCCTATCAGCGTCTTGATGGAATACGGACAGAAGTCGGGGAACACGATTGAATTCCAGCTGCTCTCTCAGGAGGGCCCACCCCACGATCCGAGGTACGGCATGTTGTTGTCAGCTTTGGGGAGGATGGAAACCCTGTCTCTAATATCCGGCCTCTTCAGCACGCTGCCCGCGTTCCTGCCCTTGCCGCTGACCTAGCTGGGTGCTTCACCTACCCGAGGAGTCTGGGCATGGCTCCTCCAAGATATTTACCTCCACAAAGAGATCAAAATCAATGCCCTTTCTCAGAGAGAGGATGTTCTTTCTTCTGCCAGACCAGGAACAGGTTCCAGTCCTGCACCCGAGCTGGTAGTGCTCTACTGGGAATATTTAGGGCCATCGTGGTAGATTTTAAATTGGAGAGAACCCAGGTGGATTTAACTTGAAGTGGGAGGAGGGGATGATAAACAGATGGAGACACCTAATGCTTAACGCTTTTCATGTGCTGTGATGTCCTGTCAGGTTCAGCTACTGTGTGAAAATGGGTGACCAAATTTTCCCTGCTGTGGTAGGAAACAGCAAGAAGGGAGCAAAGCAAATGGCAGCAGAAGTTGCTGTGAAGATTCTTTCTGGAGAGTCTGTACCCCATGGCTTGCCTGAACAGGTACGAAGAGCTGCTTTGTAAGACCCAAGTGTTTTGGGTTGGGTTCCCCCCCGCCCCTTTATTTCCTATTCCACCGAGTTTCACCCCGCAAGGTCAGCAGAGGTTTGCTGGGTGCTCTTGGCCTGTGGTGATACCGGCTGCTCGGTTTTTAACAGCCTTCTCCTGCCTAACTCTGCTGCAGCCTGTCGTGAAGCCCCCTGGTGACCACTCCGTGCCCAGCTGCGGACCGTGGATTGCCGCTCCGGATGAATCCAAGGTGGCAAAAGCGAAGGGTGTCGGGGAGCTCATCAAATACCTTAACGTCAATCCCGTCAGCGGCCTGCTGGAATACGCCCGCTCCAATGGCTTCGCAGCAGAGTTCAAACTCATTGACCAGTCAGGACCTCCCCATGACCCCAAGTAAGTAGCTGCATCTGTCCAGGAGGAAATTCGGCCCTTTTGCTGTTGTCCTGGAGAAAGGGCAGAGAAGGAAACGTTCCTGAGGCACTTTGAGGTGGCCGCAGGCTGAGCCGCTGCCTCCGCCGACCCTGTGGCGGGGCTGCCTCCGCTCCTCTCCTCTCTCTGCTGAGAGAATTGAAAAAAAAACAGAGCGAAATCTGTTGGTTTCTTGGTTTCTCAGCGGTGTGCTGCTGTCTCTGCAGGTTCGTCTATCAGGCGAAGGTGGGAGGCCGGTGGTTCCCAGCCGTCACCGCGCACAACAAGAAGCAGGGCAAGCAGGAGGCGGCCGACGCGGCGCTCCGGGTCCTCATTGGGGAAACGGAGAAGATGGAGCGCATGGAAGGGATGAACATCACCGAGGTAAAGCCTCTTCCTTCGCAGCTGGGGCTGCTTTTGTCGCCCTGCCTGTCCTGTGCCTGTCGGTCCAGCAGAAAAACGCCTTCAAGATCAACCGTGAGGTCTCTGTTCTCTGAAGGGGTAGACAAGCTGACGTTTCCTCAGGGCACGGACAGGCTGGCCTCTGCTTTAGGGCTAAATGATCATCAGATTATTCCACAAGCTACTGAAATGTGTCCCTGTGGTGTGGAGCAGGAACATGCTCATTCTTCATTCTGTGGCTTTTTTTTTTCCTCTCCTCCTTCCAAATTCCTTCGTGCCGCATTAAAAATTGCGCGTCAGCTCAAAAACTCACGTGTCAGACAAGAGCAAAGCTCTGGCTATGTCAGCACGGCTGTCCCAAACCTGTGCTGCTTTAAATCACACTTAAGAGTTTTGTCAGCTTTTAAAAGCGGCGTTCCAGGCTGCGCAGCAGCTGTGGCTCAAAATAGAAAAGCCATCGGGGAGGATTTGTCAGGCAGCCGTGCTGGAGGAGGCGAGGGGCGAGTGACTGTGCAGCCTCCTCACAGGCAGCCGGAGAAGGAATTCCTCCAAAGCCAGTTAGAGATTTCCTTGGATGAGCCTCTGGGAACAGGCAAGGTGGCGTTTTGCTCCTTGGCGCTGGGGGGTTTCCCCTGGCAGCCTCGGGAGGCCGTTGCTCAGCCCGTTCCGCTTGCTGCCAGGACGGCAGCGCTCCCTCCGCCGCGTTCTCCAGGCGTTGGACGAGGTTTTCCCAGAAATCCCTAAAAGACCTTCCCCCACCCCTTGCCCTGGCTCTGTCCCTACACCCCACCCAGGCCTGCGCTCTCGGTAGCTCGCACTCGCTGCGTTCCCGCGGTGGCGGCTCCGGAGCCGTTTTGTTCCCTGCTCGGGATCTCTTGGCAATCCCGCTCTCGTGTCCCCGTTGCAGCTCCCCGTGAGCGGCAGCACGCTCCACGATCAGCTGGCCATGCTGAGCCACCAGCGCTTCAACACCCTCACGACTCGCATCCAGCACAGCCTGCTCGGGAGGAAGATCCTGGCTGCCATCATCATGCGGAAAGGAAATAAGGGCCTGGGCGTGGTGGTCAGCATCGGAACGGGTACGAAGAGCTTCTTCCAGCGTAAGCTGAACTCTCCTTCCCTGCTAGATTCCCTGTCAGCTGGGACTAGGGAATGGCTGTTGCTGTAGGCTTCTTCAGGGAGGGCCAGAAATGTTCCCAGGGCTCGCGCGGTGTCACAAGTGATCTGGAGAGAGAACAAAGCGAATGCGCCCGCAGCTGTGTTGCTCTTAATCTTTGCTTGCCTTGCTCCGCGCTGGGCTGTGCATCAGAGCGTGGATTCCTCGTGTTGCGCGGCACAAGATTCCCCAGCTGCTCTCAGCTGCCTGTGCCTGAGCTCCCTCCTTAGCTGCCGTGCTGCCACCCGGAGTGGTGGGCTGGAAAGCACTCGGGAAGGGACACGGCCCCTCAACTTGTGACAATTTAAGTCTCTGGTGTCCCTAACGTAGGCTGTGCTCTTTGTCCCTTTATTTTCCAAACTGCTTGGGTCAGGAGGATGATTTAACAGTCAGGGTGCTGCTGCTGCTCGAAAAAAGCGCAAAGAAGGAAAACGGGGAGGAAGACGAAACCCTCCCTCTTTCTGCGAGGCTGTTGTGTTGACTTGGGCACTTGCCGCCTTTTTTTTTTATTATTATTTCTTTATTTCAGGCAATCGCTGTGTGAAAGGAGAAGAGCTGAGCTTGAAGGGGGAGACGGTGAATGACTGTCACGCCGAAATCATTGCTCGAAGAGGCTTTATGAGGTGAGAGAAGGGGAGGCCCGAAGGAGGAGGAACGGGCCCTGCTGGGAGGTGCTGACCCGTTCTAGAGGGACGGAGCATGTGGCGGTTCCTTGCTGCGTTGAGAGTCGATCCTCCAACGCTACCGTTTACCCGTGTGGTGTTAAATGGAGGGAAGTTCTTTCTGATAAGAAGGGGCCATGCCTGAATGGTGCCTGAATTAGGACCGAGCTGGAAACTTGCCAAGAGCCAACAGAGACCTCACGGTTGATCTTGAAGGCGTTTTTCTGCTGGACCGACAGGCACAGGACAGGCAGGGCGACAAAAGCAGCCCCAGCTGCGAAGGAAGAGGCTTTACCTCGGTGATGTTCATCCCTTCCATGCGCTCCATCTTCTCCGTTTCCCCAATGAGGACCCCAAGGGCTGCATCTGATGTACTTAAAATAAAGCCTCCTGCAGAGGCTGCTTGGCCGCCGCGCGCCGCGCCGCTTCAGCCTGAGCCGAGGTGCTGGGGAATCTGTTGGCCAGGTCCCCTTGTGACCTTTCTGGATCTGGATGATCCAGCTTCAGGAAAACAGGTCGAATGTGTTTGTGCTGATAAGTTCAAATCCTTTTCCAGCGGTCGGAAAGGGTTTTCCCGGTTGTTCTCTTCGTAAACGTTGCGTGGCCCTTCTCCCAAGTGAGGTGAAGCTGGCCTAGGCTCCTTCGTGTCTGCCCTTCCAGTTCTGAACAGCAAAGCCAGCGGCTTTCTTACAGCCTTTGCCTGCTGCCGCTATCCTCTGTGCGCTCCTCGGTGCTGGAAGGTGTTGAGGACAGGTCCCTGCAAAGCTGCGAAGCCAGAGGCTGCACTTGTGAAGCCGGAGGCTGCGCTCTTGCAGCCCGTCTCAGCTGTTAACCTCGCCATTCGTGGCTGCTGGGCCGCTCTGGCACAGCGGAGCTGATTGAGAACAGCAAGCTCCACCTCTCCTTGCAAAAGCCTCCCCTGCCCAGGCTCTGATGAGGAGCCTCGGTGAAGCTGCAGTTTTTCTTTAGTCCTTGACGCTGTCTTGGAGACCTCAAGGTTTTTTCCCAAGCAGAAGCAGCCATAAAAGACCCAGTCATTGTAAAGAGATCGTGGGGTTGTGCTAATAATACCGCCTGCCCGTGGGGCTGGTGACTCTGGATGCAAACTTGGTGCTGACTAAAGGTGCTGGGTTAACAACCTTGAAGTCCTCTTCACGCTCGGATCAGATGCACGCCAGCAGCAGGCAGCCAGGCTCCTTTCTTTCTCCTGCCAGTGCTTCCCTCTGCTCCCCTGACAGAACGCTTAGTTTATAGGATTGTTAAGGTTGGAAAAGACCTCTAAGATCAGCCGGTCCGACCCCACCATGCCCACTGAACCATGTCCCCGGTGCCACATCTACGCGGTTTTTGAACACCTCCGGGGATGGTGACTCCACCGCTTCCCTGGGCAGCCTGTTCCGATCCTCTTTTCAGTAAAGAAAGTTTTCCTAATGTCCAATCTAAACCTCCCCTGGCACAACTTGAGGCCATTTCCTCTTCTCCTATCACTTGTTACCTGGGAGAAGAGACCAACCCCCACCTCACTACAACCTCCTTTCAGGTAGCTGTAGAGAGCGATCAGGCCTCCCCTCAGCCTCCTCCAGGCTGAACACCCCCAGTTCCCTCAGCTGCTCCTCCTCAGACTTGTGCTCCAGACCCTTCACCACCTTCGTTGCGCTGCTCTGGACACGCTCCAGCAAAAATTTGCTATTCCATGGCAGGAAACCTGCTTGATTTCGTGTCTTTTCTCTACCAACAAACTCCATTTGGTGCCTTCCAAGTGCTCTCAGCCACACCTCCTGCTCTTCGCTCTCCCCTGCGGCAGGAGCCGGTGACTTGGGGCACCAGAGGCAGAGCTTTGGGGCCCTGCTGTCCCGTGGTTGGGTCGAGGGGCTCCTTGTCCGCGGAGCAAAGCAGCCTTTGGACGGGACGGTGTTGTTTCCAGGTTCCTCTACAGCGAGCTGATGAAGTATGACCCTTCCTCTGCGGCCGAGAGCATTTTTGAGCCAGCGGGAGGGAAGAGACTCAAAATAAAGAGCAGCGTCACCTTCCACCTCTACGTCAGGTTGGTGCGGGGCTCCGCGGGGAGCGGCGGGTGGCGGCGGCGCCGCCGACGTGGTTGTTCTCTGGGAGTGGGTGCTCACCCTGCGGGGGGGGGTGTCTGTCTTCTAGCACAGCCCCTTGTGGAGACGGGGCGCTCTTCGATAAATCCTGCAGCGACCAGGCGAGCGTGGTGGGGCAAACCCAGCACCAGCCCCTCTTCGAGAACCCCAAACAAGGCAAGCTGCGGACCAAGGTGGAGAACGGTGAGTGCCTTCGCTCCCTCCTCCTTGGGGCGGCTCCGGTCCTCTCCTCTGAGCCTTTCTGGAGCTCCAGAGTTTTCCTTACCCCTGTCTGTGTGGTGCTGTTGTGGGATTTGAAGCGGTTAGGAACCAAAGGAGGTGGGTGAAAGGGATGTGGGCGTTAGAGAGGGTCCCTTCTCCTTCCCAACTCTGCCTGTTGGACTGTCGTACCAGCGAGAGCACGGCCGAGGTTTGCTGCAAAGCTTCTACATCTCCCTTTCAAGCCCTATTTCATTCTGCTTCATCCCTGTTCAGCACCAAGTTCCCTTTCTGATGGGACCCCAAAATGTTCCCAGATCCTGGTGTCCGACTGACTCCAGCGGTCGCTCCGTGTCCTCGTGTAGAAGGTGTTTTTTTTTTTGTGCAGTTGCTGACGGGGCTTTGATTTACTGAATATCTGCCTCTTTACGGAGCAGCTTTCTTCTTCTCTCGTGCAGGGGAAGGTACCATTCCCGTGGAGTCGAGCGACATTGTGCCCACGTGGGATGGGATCCAGCACGGGGAGCGGTTACGAACCATGTCCTGCAGCGACAAGATCTTGCGCTGGAACGTGCTGGGCTTGCAAGGGGCGCTGCTGTCCCACTTCATCGAGCCGGTGTATCTCAGCTCCGTCACGCTCGGTACGGGCCCCGCTGCTGGGCCGGGCTTGTTGACGGAAGGTCACAATCGCGACCAACTGCTCTCCCCCGCGGCAGAGAAGCCGGCGCTGCTTTATGGCAGCGCTGGGGAGCACGGGGGGTGGCTCCACCTGACGGGCTTCAAAGTTACATCCAAAAATTCAGCATTTTATATCCTTTTTTCTGCAAAGTCATGATCTTTAACATATTTTAACATCAGCGTGCGTGTTATGCCCGCTATGAATTTTGACATTTACAATGATCGCTCCACCCTATTAACTAACTTCATCAGTATTCCTGTACTAATATAATCATGGGTTATCTTACTGATCAAGATCTCTGATCTACAAATCAGGATGGGGAGGAGGTGAGGGTCTTCACCTCAACATTCCTTAGTTTCTCTGGTTTCATCCCATAAGATAACACGCCAAGAACGGGCCCTTTCACCCCCTGTCCCTGTCTCCTGCCTCCCTGTTCTGTTCTGGACAGTTTCACAATTAGCAGCAGCTTTAGCTTTGACCTTCTTTGCAAGGCACCAGCTGCTGTTTCTGAGCATAAGTGGGGTTTTGGGTATTTCTTATCGTAATGTAAGCTGATTGCATTAATACAAAGCGTTAGTTATTCCTTCAAGCAATTAAGTCCTTCGTTAAAAGCAGTTAGTTATCAATGAAAAGTAATTATCTATTCAAAATTCAAACTTGATTCTAACAGGCTGGATGTGCTGCCCAGCTCCTTCGGATGGGGCTGTGGCAGCGAGGCACCTCCCTCCCCCAGGCGATGGGGAAGCTCGTTTGTGGAGGCCGTAGGAGCAGCAGACTGAGCCGTGGTTCTTGGCAGAGCTGAGCTGCTTGGGAGTGAAAAGGGAGTTGGTGGATTTTATGCTGGGGGCGGAGTGGGGTTTTTTTCTCCAAGGTTCTCGATTTTTTTAGAAGGCGCATGTGATGGAGGAGGGCGAGACAAAAAATGCCTGTTTGTGTCTTTCGCTGAGAAACGTTGCAGGCTGTAAAGCTTAGGCAGCTGGGCTGCCCGGAGCTGGGGCTGATCCACACGGCTGCGAGTTTTCGGGAGCTTGTGAGAAGCGGCGCTGGGGTTCTCGGGGTCTGGCTTGGCCGCCAGCC